AAAAAAAAAAAAAAAGAGCAATGAATAAAGATTTTTTTTTTTAATAGCCAACTTCGATCCCAAGAGTTTCAGTTCATGATCAGTACAACGACGTTAAAACATTAGCCCGCCATATTGTTATATTATCATCAAGTATTAGTGCCTTCATCTAAGGATCGCAGGCTTTAAGTACTTCTTTTTGAGCCCCTTCCTTTCCTTGGCTACTGTCACTGTAAAATGTCCCTGGACTGGCTGATTTGTGCTACTGACTGTATGAGGTTATACGAATTAAAATAGAATGGGTTGAATAATTATTTGGTTGTTTAGTAAATAACAATTCAGCAGAAACTGTTTTACGAGTTTCGACTGACTTGCAAATCAGGGAACAGTGTATGCAGTAGTATGGCTTGAATGGAATAGCATTCAGGCAATTTCCCGAGCGAGTTAAAACTCGCTCGGGATTCTGTCAGCATTTTTATCTTGTGAGGAATATTCTAGTTACCCTACTGATTTCCTGCTAGACGATTTTTCTAACACCTCAGTTAACAAAAACAACGGCATAAACAATGATATTGGTAAATTGCATGATTCACTTTCATACTAAAAAAATAGCTTGTATATTTAGCCATGACGAAGACTGATAAGGTTTATAGTCTAAAGTTTTCTTTTCTTTTCTTTTTTTTTTGCCCTTGAACATATGACAACGACATTTCACTAATGTATGCTCCACTGACGAAATAGTAGAAACAAGATTTTAAGGCAGATGCTGCTTAGAGAAAATCCTAGTAAATAAGAGCTTACGGTCATGTATAAGAGCTTATAAGGAACAGTTAACTAGCCACTCAATCTACTCGCGAGCCCTGAATAATCTGTTTTGCGGCTAGCTTATAATAGAATCAATCTGGTATTGCGAAATCATTTTTTTTGTCGTAACTTTTAATAACCACGTTGTCCGTAAAGTAATTGCGAAATTAAAGATTTATTGCTCGCTGCGCTTGGCGGGGTGCCAAGAGAGTAATGAAGTAAGAAAACATTAGATTGAAGTTCTTACGTGATATATAGACGAAATCTTCAAACACGATCATAAAAATGAGCGTCGATTGTTTGCCTGACCATTAGCAATCTGATGCCCTCGCGGCTTTCTGGATAGTTAATAATGAACAGTTCTTATTCAAACACGTCATGTTCTACCACAGGGTCCAAAGGAGATGTGTTTGTCGTTAGAACATCAAAACCAGTCCAAAACCTCTGAAAAAATGGGTTATTTTGATCGCGTTGCGGTTTCGTTATTCTATAGACTGCAAACTAAGAGACTGAGGGCTCGCAAGACCGGCTTACAGTATAAAATACGGAAAGGGAGGAAACAAATTTGGGGCCGATTTTCGAATCCCTGAAACTCAAATGGAATTGAATGAAATCGCCTGATTTTACTAACCTGATCTAGAATTCTTATGCATTTGCCAAATACTGTAGGAAAACGGCATAAAAAAGCGTTCAAATTCATTTTTGGCGACCGAAATTTACGGCTCCGAGATAGCGCTTTCGTTCGCTGTTGACCGCAACAGATGGTGACGGAAATGACGTAGTAAAGTAAATGTGCTCAAGATCGATCGGAGCAATAAAAGGGAAGCCTACACGACTTTTACCTCGTGCCAAAACGTTGCTCGTTCCAATAAAGTTTTTTTCCTCTGCTGGGTAGATTATACTCTGGAAGGTTCTACAGAAAATGTGATTTTAGCGGGGATTTTAGCCGCATGTTTTACACTGAGAGGTCATGACACATCGATTTACTGTGGTTATTACCGGGGCCCAGCCGAAGGCTGGCACCGGTCTTAAAATGCAGACGGTTTCTGTCGTTTTTTCAACGTTACAGTGTTAGGGATATATCGCTGACTGAGATATATCGCTGGCTCATTGAAATCTTATCCGCCATTTTGAAAAGCCAAGGCATGGAGGACAGTCAAGAGAAAGATTATAGCTTTTGGGGGAAGGACACGTTCCCCAACCTTTACGATGCACTAGTTTATGAAGGAAAATTTAAGAGTAAACATTTGGAGAGACAAATTTACGAGTGATCACTTAAGAGTGAACCTTCCATCGTGAAATTTATCGAGAATCAAAGCGAACACTTATCAAAGCTAATTTTATATCATCTTAAAAAACGTGCTACAAGGCGATCTAGACGTGCTCGTGAACCGAGCAGAATTCCACTGATATTTCTAAGAGGTCTTAACGAGAAAAATAGCATGTTGAAGAAATTTGTCTTCAAAAAGATTTCAACGATTGACATACCGAAGTCTTCAAAGCTCCATCGCTATGTTAATAAGGTGAGAAAACTTTATCATGCACGATATAAATGTAATAACAAATGCGATCCAAAGATAATTAACTTAAATAAAATGGCTATACCCAAGAAAGCTTATTTGTTGTCTTTCTTTAGCAGACATTATCACAGAATAATGAAAAAATGTAAAGCACGTCGATATTTATCATTGTTTTCTTGCAATTGTGCGAGTCATATGACAAATTATGTGAATTTCAAACCAAGTAAAGATTTTGAGAAGAATGCCAGGACCTACTCAATACAACACTGATCATCATGATGTTATAATTAGACCTTCTATGCAAAATCACAGCTAAACAATGCAGTTGATCTCTCCTATTTCCTCTGAGAATTTGATGCAGTCAAGATTAGGTGAACTTGGCCTACAATCAATAGATGTTGACGGTGCAGGTGATTGTTTCTTTAGATCTGTATCACATCAATTATATGGCAATAGCAACCATCATATGCATATACGTACTGCTGGGTTCAATTTATGAGAGACAACCCAGAGAGATTTATTGAGAGCAATACCGAAAATTCATGGCTACATGGGCTGATGCAATTATCATTCAAGCAGTTGCAGATGCATTAAATGTTACTATACAAATAGTAGAATCTAATCAAGGCTTTGCACCACTTGCTACTGTTTACCCAGTTCAGGAAAGAAATACTTCCTCTACAATTAGTATAGGTCATATTGATGAATGTCACTATGTATCAACCACTGTCTAACAATCAAATGCCTCCATTTCAATGTGCAATGAATTAAAAAATGATACTCAGTCATCAATAAATAAGCATTTTATTATGTCCATATATGCAGTTTGTTTCTCTGTTATCAAATCATGCACTTGCTGGGATTCTTCAACCCTACAGGCTCTCCATGAACATGCATGCTTGTTCTATGAGAAGTGTAATGCAGACCGTGAAGGCAAAATTGTGATAATTCTGTAACAAACTTCTTTGCAAACTTTGTCATTACCATTCAACTCAAAACTGTCAGTGATTTTTGCTCTTTCACTCAAACTCAAATAAAAACCTTATACAGATCACACTTATTGACATCACAGTGTAAAAACACGACTATAACACAGACCGTCAGCTGTCATAACACTGAACAAACTTACAACTACATCCTCCTTTCTCATGTATTTTGTTGCTTTTCTTCTGCACGAGTT